TGCTGTTCTGCCTCGCCGGAGCTGCTGGAACGTCGGGACAGAGAGAACCCGGAGCAGGCCCGGAGCAAGCCCGGCTTTCTCGCTGGGGGACGAAACCCCCGCCCCACTCACTGGCCCCTCGAACAACCGCCGTGCTCAGTGGCGAGGTCACAAGCAGTTGTAGGAACACAGCCCTGGTGTCACCTGCTCACGCAGTGGCGTCTGACCTGCCCTGAGCTATGGTCCAATGCGTGCTGGCTTTAATTGCTTTTAAAATGCTCTTTTGCAAAGCCCAGGGGATCGTTCAGTGGGAAGCCATGGGCTGCTGGAGCCAGACCTGCACCGAGAATCAGCTCCGCTCCGTGCTGTTGAAGATGTGACGTCCCCGAAAAGCCAGCTAAAATCCAACACCAAAATGTGTTTGTAAACGGATTTGCTGTCAGAGGAAGGAAAACTGACTGCCATGAAGAGCCAGGAAATGCGATTAATTGCTGCTAATTAGGCTACACAGTCAGAGTCCCGAAGTAATTTATTCCTTTAGGAACAAAGGTGTCCCTCCCTTGGCGGGACCTGAGCTTTGCTTTTTGAGCGTCTTTTCCTCTGCTAGACAACTCTGCCCTTTTTCTTGTGGGGGGGGAGGGGGGGAAGTCACTGTGGGGTTTTCCTTTTGTTTTTCTAAATGGTACAGGCTATTCCCATAAAATGGCTATTCCTGTAAAATGTCTATTCCTGTAAAATGTCTCCACGCGCCTACAACAGATCCAGCTGAAATACGAAAGAGCCAAATGCTTGCCAGGAGCCAAGAGATGAGCAGATGTGCTGCAGAGCATCTGCTCTGACTCCTGCTCCCCTTCCTTGCTCGTCGTCGCTGCTGTTCCTTGAAAGTGCACACACACACACACACACACACATATACACACACACCCCCCACCCCACCCCGAGGGCTGGCACTGCTCTTGCACAAACCAAACTGATGCTTTCAGAGAGGCTGGGATTGAATTCCAGGCTAAACTGGTAATGCCACATCCCCATATGGACCACTGGCAAACGGGAGTCAGGTAACTGTGCCAAACGGAGCCATTCCTTTAGGCAAAATTGCTCTGGGGGGCTAACGAGGCAAGGCAGGGTAGTGGGACTGATGTTCTACTGAGCTGGAGCTCTTGCATTGTGTTATACCATTTAAGGTGAAATCTGGATTCTCCGGGCGTTAGTGTTGCCTCAGCACCGCTCCGATGGCTTCAAGCCCCCAGCTGCCTGGGGTGCACCATGAAACTGCAAACACCCCAAAAGCTACCAGTAGGAAGCGGAGGATGGTGCTCCCAGGCCAGCTACAGCAGCCACAAAGGGCACACTATGCAGATGGCTGGAAAGGGAAACGAGAGATAAGCTGGATTTCTCTTACCACTGATTTTCTAGAGTGGCTGCTCTGCTGGCCACTGGGCCAGCTCTTTGCCTGGCAGCGCTGCCCAGTGCCTGCGGCCGAGCACCCTGCCATCCCAGCTGGCTGGCGACCGTGGGCTGCTGTGTGCTGGCACACATGGTGCGAGGCACTCGGGGACCACGAGCGGTGCTTTTACCTGTTAGGTAAAGCGCTTGGTATTGCTTTAGAGCTGCAAAAGGTGATGAGAATTAGTGGTCTCCTGTGACTTGGCCTATGCTCCACAGCCCGGGAGCTGAAGCGACTCCTGGAGAGGTGGGAGATACAAATGGACTGAAAAGCCCAAGTTCTCATAGGAGCATAGAATAGTTTGGGTTGGAGGAATTGCCCTCTGCTCGCTGCCAGCCGTGATTTCAGGCCCCAAATCCCGGTTTGTGACTTCATCAAGACATCTGAGCTGCGATGTCTACCCTTAGGGCAGGTAATGCTCACCCAGCCGTAGCTCAGGGCTGAGGGAAATAGCCAAGAACCTTTTGTGACCATACAGAGAATGAAAGGTTCTGTCCAAATGTGCGACCGTACTTTTCTATTCTGTGTCCCATCAGGTAAAAACCAGGCAGGGACCAGAACAGTGCAAAGATGAGCGGCTGCAGGGTGTTTTACTCCCCCACGCTCCAGGAAAGGGCCCCCGTATCCTGCAAAACAAAACCCAGAGAGCGCTGCAGCTGCCCGTGCCCTGGCCTCCACAACCACTTCCACTTCTCACCGAGGGCGAGGAGCACCCCTCACCTGACTACAGCGGGCACTCTGCGGCCGCCACCGACTTCACAGTGTAAATGCCAGCACGAATGCTCCCCTGTGTGCCAAGGGGCTGCCTGGTTCCTGCAGATCCTTTGGGCAAGTACTCTGCGTTAGCAATGCTGGGTGGAAGGCTGCAAAGTGCCAGAATTTAAAGGGAGGCTTGGGAACTGGAAGTGGAGAGTTCACACCATCATTCTACCTCCTCTGCCTCTGTCCCAGCAGCATCTGATGCCTCTTCTGCCCAGTGTTTTCGTGTTTCATTCCCCAGATAAATACAGCAACAAAATGCCAGGAGAAGGTGTTTATACCAAGGCAGGGGAGCAAGCACGAACTCTTGGTTTACTCTGTGCCTTTTCTCCTGGACCCTAAGAAGTTGTTTGGCTTTTCCTGTGCGCCTATTTATTCGGCTGAAAAACTGAATTAATACCTGCTTTTCTAAAGCATGAGACCCTTATGCTGAGATCTATGCTAAGCATTTATTTGGCACCTATTAGCATTTCCCAGGGCTTAGATGGAGTCGCTCAATGTCTGAGAGAGAGGAACCGAGCACGTCATCTGCTGGGAGATGCTGTGGGAGCACAGGGGCACCTCATCTGCTGGGAGGTGCCATTCCACAGGGGTCTGTGGCTGGCACGGGGGGATCTCGTGACCGGTCCCTGGGCTTCCACCCACCCCTGGACCAAGCGAAGTGGGACAGCAAAGAGACCCCGCGCACTGCTGCGTGCTCAGCCTGGCCGTGGAGCTTGGGCCGCTCTGGTCATCTCCCAACCCAGGAGGGACAGGAGAGTTAACCTGCACAGCATCGCAAGTTAACCCACACGGAAGGGCGAGTTAACCCCCGTGGCAGGGTGAGTTAACCCACATGGCAGGGTGAGTTAGTTAACCCACACAACGCTAGGCGAAAGAGCCGCTGGCCAGTGGGGGGTTTAGCCCGGTAACCCCCTTCTGTGGCAGGACAATCTGGTGAGTGGCTGTGAGCAGCCCTGCCCCAGCACAAGACACGTCCCACGGTGCAGGAAGAGCAGCCCCTGAGGAGGGGGGAGGCGTCCGCTGGGTTCGGCAGCTTCTCAACGGATGTGTGCTGAGAAAAAGGCAAGTCACGTTTATCACTGAGTCAGGTGAATTAAACATTCACATATATTTGCTGAAAAAAATTATATACATCTGTAGCAAGGCTCTGCCAAGTTTGAAAGATAAGCATCATCTAGTCACTAAATTAAAAAAATAAAAATCTGACTTTTAAATCTTTTTCTTTTTATCCATGTTCAAGAGCACAGACAGTTTATTTTGTTAGCACATTCAGTGAAGAATGTATGTGTGTGTGAGCAGCCATGAAAACCGGTGAAGATTTGGCATTTGTTGTGGATAAGATGAAACTAA